TTGAAAATTATTGAAATCGGACTAAAATTACGACCGCTTTTCATATAACGGTATATTTCAGAAATGCTTGAAACTGCAATATTTCGAAATTTAAGGACGCTAATTTACTTAAAATTTATACACCCCGGCTTATCGTGTAGCGGTAGCTTTCGGAAAGGTGGAAAACATATATTTAATAATTGCGCCGGGTATTTAATGTTCGGCTCCGCCCGAACTTAGACTTTCTTACTTGTTTCAGATAATTTAAATTTGAAATGGTCCTAGGTTGCTTAACTAATTGTTTGGTTAATACAATATGGATAATATTCTTCAAGATTAAAATATAAAAATGTCATGAGTATTCTCTAAATTTATACTTGAAAAGTAAAGTTTGGTGCCAGCACCTCCTTCGGCAAGAGGAAACATTTTTTAAGGTTCTCAAGTAATGTAAGCTTTTTAGTGTTCAAGCTGTTACAATTCCGTTCAGTTATTAATTGTATGTTTAGAAACTTTTTCCTTCAAGCAGTAGGTTGCGCGCTCGTTAAGGACTTACTTTTCAGCCGATTTTAGTAAACCACGGAAAATTACTTTATATTACCTAATTTGATTCATTTTAGTTAAGGATTTTTTGAGTTGCAAACATTTTCTCAAAGGTGGGCAGTGGCACGCCCCTTCGCAAATAATATTATTGAACCGGACTGATATTTCAAAGATTTATTTATATATCAAGATAGATTTAGATAGATTTTGGCTACGAAAATATGGAAGTTTCAAAGTACTAACAGTATATGGGAGGTGGGAGTATATGTGTCTTAGAGGTATACGCTGATAGATATAGATTGGTAATACACATGCTTGTTTATTGAAAGACCTTAATATAACAAATAATCGATTAACCAATCAGCTAATAAATACATTAAATCGCATAACCCAACGGTCATAATTGTGTTTCAAAATAGTCACTACGATAATCACTTTACTTTTTCTCCCAAATCACTTCACTCGAAAATTAGCAAATGACAGCACTGCTACCAAATATAATTAGAGTGACATCACAATATACCATTTTGCATTTTCTCTTTTAATTTCGCGAACATTAGGTTTGTTCGTCGAAAATCCAGCAAGAATATCGGAGAGTAGGGAAAAATTCTCACATAAGCAGAGAAACTTATAAAATTTCTGCACGAACGCAAATTTGGGGTAATTTATAGATTTTTAAAATTCTTTTAGATGGACAAAAAACAGTATTACATGTATATTTCTTGTCATTCTGACTTTCTTTAACATATGTTCCAATTTCTTTGTTGTACTAAGTGTCGGGTTTCCTAAATCGACCCTGATTGCAATTGCATTCCGATAACGAATACAATTTTTTCAACCGAGTACATATCAAATCTTTGGAATTAACTACATTAATTAAGTAAACAAGTATTTAATTGTATACATTTTTTATTAGAAAATCGCTCATGTTTATAAACTTGTAAATGTAACGAACTCCTTTATTCAAATCAGCGCCGAAAAAAATGCAAACATGTGCCACAATCATATATTTTTCGTGATTGCAAACAGGGTTTCCGTTTTGGGCTTTTCCTACCAAAATTGGTAGGTTTTTTCTCGTTGGTAAGATGGTAGGACGCTTAAAATTTTGGTAGGTTTATTTGCTCATAAAACAGAAAACATCTCTGGCCTGTGTAATTTGTCACTTTGTCAGCACTGTGAGTATGCTTGCCAAATTTTGACAATATTAATTTTACCCTCATTCATTTAAAAACCTCGTCGCTTACTGGTATAGGCAGAATTCCAGCAATTATCTTCGGCAATTCTCTGAACTCTGTACTCGTATAAAAAATCTTATCCACTGCGTATCTAAATATCAAGTGATTGAATTGATGAATTTAAAGGGAGGTTTATAAATGAGATATTTTTCTTTGAAATGCATTGCGAATCGATAATGGTTTCAACAATGACAAGGTTGTTAAAATATTTTAATAGCAATAGAAGAGTGATTCAAAAATTAAAACCACTTGTTGTTAGTCATATTTCCAGTAAATCGGTGAATCTCAAAGTTTTTACCTGCAACTCGAAGAAATTAATATCAAACCCGCAGCGCGCAGATTTTGTCCCAAGTCCGGAGGCCTCCAGACCCGGACATTTGGCAAGCCTAACCGTTAGGTTTATTTTTATCTTACTAATGAATATATCGTTACCTGAAGATGAAAAGGAGCCAAGTCCATTTTTTGAATTTGTTCAGGAGAGACCAAAAGTCGATGTAGTTTCGCACATTATCTGTATTGGCACCTTTTCACCTATAGGTAGCAATATGTAGATGTACGTGTTTCATAATATATGTATGTATGCAAATGAGCGATAAAAAAAATCTATGACGGAATTTTAATTTCCGCTACGATTTTTCATGTCATTTACCCCGAAGGCTTTATTAAAACTATAAACTGCGAATTTTTTTGCCACTTTTTCGGTTTTTCGCAATTTACTCGAAATTTTGAGGGTTTAGAAGTCAAATGGACCTCTGATTCGGATTCAGTGGGTCGAAATACATGTCGGTAGGGGTGTCTGGTTAAAAGCACACACCACTTTTTTGTGTGTGCTATATGTATAATCTGATCTTTTTATTTACTGGATATCTTATTTTAAGTATAAAAACCAGAAATGTATTTAATGATGTCAAACGCCGTTTTCTTGATTAAAAGAAATCGGAGGAAAGAAGCCATTTTGGTAGTTGTTTTTCAGTGGCAACCTTGATTGCAAATTCTTGCTGGCTAAATTTTTCCCAGCTACTTCTTTCCAAGGGAACTGCCACTTTGCGCTCTCAATTTTTGAGTGTTGGACAATTTTTTGGTCTCCACGAACGCGATTTGAACAAAAATCATGATAATTTTTTACTCGATGAACAGAACTATTGTTCACTTTTTAATAACAAAATAAACAAGTTATCGTTGTAAAAGATTTGTATTTTTCAAATAATTTAGTTAAATAATATCCCTGCAAAAAATGCGACGAGTCCGGGATGTGTCCGGTATGAGTCGCAAAGGAGAATGCGACTAATGCCACTTTGCATCCCTTTGTATGGACTGAACTGTTCCCTTTTGTTCGGGCATGTCCTATGAAGAGACTAATTGTGCCCTTTTATACCCGAACGGGTATGAAAGTAGAGTAGTCCGTTTTCAGACAATTCGGGCATATAATGGGACTAGTCTCTTTGTATTCCAATCGGGTTAGTATTTTTCTTACCTTTTTAGAATCGTTTCATCGTTAATACAAATAATAAACACTATATATAAATTTTTTAGTGCGCTTGCATGGCTTTTAATTAGATATTTTTATATTATTTGTAACAAACTATAAAAAATCTTATTCTAAAACAGAGCAATAAATAAATTCATTTCAGTTTTAAATTCATTTTATATGTACATTTGTTTAATTAATATAAAGATATTTTATAGAAAAAGTGGCACTTCATTAATTAAAAAATTCCATTCTTTCTTATTTTAAAATTAAATCGTTTCTTATTCTAAAACAGTCTATTATTTACATTAATTTAATTTTTAAATTCATTTTCATTTGTACATTTGTTTCTTTGGTCTTTAAGTTAATATAAAGATAGTTTATATAAAAAAGTTGCACTTCATTGATTTCAATAACTTAAAAGTTCAATTATTTCTTATTTTCAAATTAAATTCTTTCATATTCTAAAACCGTCTATTACCTACATTTATTTCATATTCATATTCAAATTCATTTTCATTTAGTCTTTAAGTTACTTTCAGATTCTGCGCTTTCTTATTCTAAAAGTCTAATATTAATTTCATTTTTAAATTCATTTTCATTTGTACTTGGGTTTCGTTTGTCTTAAAGTTAATATTGAGATCAATAAAATAATAAAAAAACAAAAAAAGACAATTCATAAATTTGATAAACTTAAAAATTAATTTTCAAAATTTTTCTTCTTTTGTCTATATGCTTTTTTGAAATACTTTGCCTTTTCAAATTTTAGTGCGCTTCTAACCGTGTCTTCTGGCGTCAATCCCTTAAACGGCATTTTGGCAATGGCTCCTGAGAGTGGGAACAAATTTTTCAATGTACATATATGTGTAAAATTTTAAACAAAAAACACCTGTAAGTGCACCATAAAAGTTGGGAAAGGATTTAAGCCCAACCTTTCCATGAGATCCATCCACATTTAATTCATTGATTACGTCTATTTTTAGCAGCATTGAAATATTTTTTATGTTGTTGCACAAAATGGACGAAATAGCAGCCTCCTGCAAAATCGATACATTTGAAATGAGTAATGAAATTGATTTGAATTGCTTTATATCTTTAAATATATGTAAGTACGTACATATATTTATTTCCTTACATAATTTTTTTATTATAAAGCATTTCAAATAATTTTTATTCTTTATAAAATTGTCTGCAAATTTATACTTTTATAAATAACGCACATATATATCCCTGTTGGCAGAAGTTATTTTGCATTCCAACGCCCGCATTTCGGGTATATCGCATATCGGAAAATATTTGACGACAGGTGTGTTTTGGGCTTCTTGGCGCACCAGTTGTTCTGTAGCCACCTTCTGCCCGGCTATAGCGTCCATGATCGCGGCGTTTTGGGTTTCCACAACGTTTTGCAGGACTTCTATTTTTTCGCCCATTGCTTGCAGTTGTTTCTCAAAGATGTTGCAGTGACTGCAACACACCACTTGAAAAACTTCTTGGTTGCTCTCTAAATATCAAAAATAAGTTGCATTTTTTATTATAATTAATTTTTCATATTTAAATCTTTATCTAAAATTATATATGGTTTTGATAATAAGCTGAATATTTGGGTTTAAAACACACCATTTGCCTCTATGGCCGATGTTGATACGCTTATTCTCCGTGATTCTAAAAAAATATGAAAATATATGTGTAAGGGAAGATTTATGTAAGCATGTCATTGAAAATAATTATTTACCTATGGTGCATTCACTGGTCAAACTGACGCGTCTTGAGCTGTTTTGTAACAGCATTTTATTCTCGGTCGTATCTGGAACGTTATATTAACGTTATACTTTAATATCAACAGAAACGATTGTATATTTACATTTTGTCTTTTTTATCGGGATTTTCGCCGCCGACGTGATCGGGTTTTGCGCTCCGTATTTTTTAAAAAGGTGCTCGAGAAAAATAAAAAGTGAATGATTTTATCTCAGTTATATAAAAGTTAAAAAATAAAATAGTAGAAAGTTAAAGATCGTAAAGAAATCACATGCAAGTGTGTAAAATGGGAATGAGAAGAATTTTCTCCTCAAATGGAATGCACATCAATTTGAATTCAACATCATCGAGAGAAAATTCCTCTTCATGGCCAAATGAAGTGGTGTCTGCAGTACATATCCCTAATGTGCAGGAATCGATTGGTTCTGTGAAAAAATTCTCTAAATTTAATAATTTCTTGCCCTTTAAAGTTTTACTATTTACGTCCCCAAATTGTTGAATTAGTATATATTGGAACGATTCAAGAGAACAGTAATTATTGGGATATTTATTGGATAAGATGAAATCTTTAAAATGAAAACTTACACAAACGTTTTTAATATGAAATCCAGTAAATTTTGGCGCAGTTACAATTTTTTCGTGTTTCAACCAGGGTACGAAGACAAACTGTACAAAACAATTCCCATTTGCTCATCGATCATCATATCATTTGTGGTTTTGTACAGTTTTGTAAATAGTCAGAAACAAATTGTAAGATTCACTGTCATTTTCCCCAACGAGAAACGTTTGCTTTTCGTTTGTGACAATTGTACCATAGGGTACGTTTTATATGTATGCAAACGTTTCAATTACGTGAAAAATAATTTTTTCTGTAAATTTTCATATCCAATTCAATTAAAAAACATTTTTATTTTTTTTATTCATTGCAGCCATTCGTTTTGTATTTGTTTATTGCATATATGTGCATACATAAATATATTTTCCCTGCACGATTCATTTCGTTTGTTGTTTCGTCTGTAACTACTAAACTACTGTAGTGTACTATCGCCAAAGTGAACTCAGCCGTTTTGTTTCGTATTGTACCGAACTGTTAAAGTAATAAACGAAACGCAATAGTAACGTACAATATAGTTTATTTTCGTACACTGGTTTCAACATATTCGTTATTTGTTGCAATATTTTAGTTGGTTTTTTAACGTATGATTTTAGTATTTGTAAATAATTTTCAAATTGGTAGGCCGAGTAATTTGAAGGTACACCTAGTTCTTTAACATATTCGTGAACATGAAGTAACCCATGTACATTGTAGGAAACACTATTGTCCCCAAAAATTACTGGAAAATTTTCCACAAATAATTTTAGCATATTTCTCCCCACATCAATGTTAGAAGCATAATGTTTTGGGCAGAAAAATAATCTACAAGCGCAATGTAAAAGGAGAAATTCATAATATATTTCGTTGGGAATTTCATCTTTTAAAACATAAATGCCGTAATAGAGGAGAAACATGCGGAATTCGGTAGCTTTCCAATTTAAAATTTCATTAAAAGATCTAGGTTTTCGAACAAACTCTTTGGTAATGTTCGAAGATAAGGCTACTAGTTTTGTTGATATTTTAATTTTGGTTTCTTCCTTGAACTTATAATTGCAGTTGTTATTAATAATGCGTAAAATAAACTTGCGCATAACACCTAAATCAATGAGGTGCATGACATCAAAGGGGACTTGGGATATCATTTTAATATTGATTTCTTCTAAAGGGGATAAATTATGTGCAAAAATAGATGAATGTTTATTTGGATATTTGCGTTCAGAAAAGTCTATACTTGATATCAGGGTTCCAACCTCCGTACTAAAAGTCAGTACGCCGTCAATTTTTTTCCCCACTTGGGTGCATTTGGGACAACCATGACGTGAAGTATGACCTGGTATCCCGCAAAGAAAAGATTTTGCTGGGGCATCGCAAACAAAAGCCCTAATTTTGAAAGTAATGCACCGCCCATTACTTTCAAAACCATTAGCTTCAAGCTCTTTAACTTCTGCAACAAATTCACTTAAAAATTCTGTTATTGAATCTGGTTTACTTCGCCCTACAAAAAGACCAGTAGCAAACACAGATATATTTGGCACATTCACAACTCTAACCAAAATTGGCCATAATTGCATACGAGAGCTGCGGTATAAAGGCAACCCATCGATATTTATATCGACAATTATGGCTTCATAATTAAATAACTCACCGGAAATTTTTTCTAATTGTGTTTTAATGCCAATGTTGCAAAATAACCCAGGACTAATATTTTGTACTATAATCTGCGAGCAATTTTTTAAAATCGTTCCTGCGCATCTAGGTACATTAATATTTTCATTTGCAAGGATTGTCAAAAGTTCGGAAAGGCTTTTGTGGGATATTTTATTGCGAATAGCCCACATTTTAAGATTTTCACAAAAAGGTATTTTCAAATCTTCATTTACCGCATTACCTGGCACATCCTCTCCACTTTCGACAACTCTAGCAATGGGCGCAGACGCACTATTCTGCGCAGTTTCACTTAACCTCAACATTTCACGGTTCTTTTCTCTTTCTTTTCGAACCAATCTTCTAAGATGACGCTTACTTACCTTATTCATATTGTTATATAATATGTATATCCGGTGTTTCTCGATGTGGGTTCTCCCTTTTTTATTAATTAAATTAAATTTTTTGCAAAACACTTGAATCTCAGGTCAACTTTATTTTCTTACATTCGGCAAGTGAAAAACATCTGTTGCAAAACAAGAGACCGCCAACTACTGATTGCCATTATCGATATTGATTTGCCGTCGGTACGATACACGATGAATGCTTGCATACAGCATGCCGTATTATGGGTTGTTTTTGCTTACGCGTAAAATCACATTAGCGCATTTAGCTCTAAATGCTACTATAAACGCACATTTATCTATACAAAATTCGTCACCTAATGCAACTAAATGAAATTTCATTTCTGCATTAAGAAACGAAATGATAAAAGCAACCCTGTGATCTTCGAAAAATACCACGATTCGAACATGGCTTGATGCATGGCACAATAAACAGGTAGTAGCAGAAGAGCAAATGCAACCCTTCCATGTGTTTTGTTGTTGCTTGAGAAACATAAAATGTCAAAACAGAAATAAATGTAAGCACGTTCGACCAATCAAAAGCAAACAAAAATGATGCTAATGTATGTGTATGTGAATGTGTATATGAATGTTGTAAAGCATGACAGTTCAGATTTTTCTCGAAATAGAAAAAAATCAAAACTGCAGCCCTGCACCTACTACCTTTTTAAATGCAGTAAAAACGCTGCATTACGAATTCAATTCCAGCGTGTGAAAGCCGATAGCTAGCGTTTATCGTATTTCGTTATGCTAAAATGCGCGCAAAACAACCACAAAATGTCTAGTGCTTATATATTTAAATTATTCAAATCCGGAGAATATATTAATTACAAGTATTTTATTAAATTTGATGCAACATTTTTAAAATTTTATACAAATTCGGCAAAAATCGCGTCACACAGCAATATTCGATTGGTTTGACAGCACTTGCAGCAAGTTAAATTATTTCTTGAAAGCGATTTGCATAATTTCAGTTGCAGTTATACCTTGCAATTTTTATTTCCGCAAGTGATTTCTGCAAACCTCCAAAAATATTTTCATATTTAGCGTTTAACTCAAAAACGGACCATAAATTCGAGTTTATGGCTCAACGTGACCATATTATGAACGTGAGCATGCTATAAAACTAATTTATCATAATATTTTGCAACGTTATCGTCATATCAGTTTCTTTTGATCGATACTTTACTCTAATTAATCGATAAAGTGGATGTCGGCAGTTGACCGTCGCTGGAGACTTTTGACAACTTCAGAGTTTTGACAGCTCAAAATAGCAAATCTTTATTTACTCCGGGTTATTATTATCGTTCAAGCAAAATAAACAGATAAGTATTATCAATTAAGTGCAGAAATTACTAAATAATAATTGCTTCATTATTTTGTAGTTATGAGCGTTGTGGAGTAGGAACAACAAATGCGGCCACCAAAGATGCTGGGATGTTGCAGACTGCAGCCAGCACTGAATTCAATTTGAACAAATCGAGAAGCGTTTGTGAAGGAATATTCTTGGTTTTGTGTGCTGGACAATGTGGATAAATATAACACCGCTATTAGTAATTTAGCTTGGTGTTTTAAATTAATACATCTTTAAAGGTAAATTATTGAGAGTACCATGACCTGTGCATAATTTACTGGGGAAAATTTTAGTTTGGCATCCCCCGCGTACAAAAAAAAATGTGGCTATGGGGGGGTAGGGGGAGTTCTCCTGATTGCAAATATATATACTTTAAGCCGCAGGAGGCTTATAGTTTTTAAGTTATTTGTTGTTAAAGTTTGTAAATTGAACTAACCTCTCGGCGCTATTTCACACAATAAACACTATATTTATGTAGACACTTCGGCAAAATAGTTACATTAAAACCCCGCACAATGAAATGTAAACATTTTTTACATTTATGATGTATTTTTAGTAAATTAAGTAAGTTTTAATAATTATCACGCACTTATACAGGGTGTCCCATAAGTAACGTGCCAAACTTTAGGGGAAGGTAGGTGGGGGGGTGAGCTCCCTGATAAACAAAAAATTTTCAGGTAAAAGTGTCACCGTTTTTTAAATATTTACATTTTTTCGAATTTAAAAAAAATCGTGCCTTTTCATGTGTTTTCTTTAACTGCAACTACAAACCGGGCAATACTTAGTAAATTTTTTATGTAAAATACTTCCAGATAGTTGCCTCTCCATACTCAAATGCAATGTAGTTAAAA